TAATTCAATGACATATGAAATACAAATCAATATTATAAAACAGTCTATGATCGATTAATTAATCAAAAATGCGTCACTCATAAAATGACATTGTCGCAGAAATAACCTTACACTACATCAAAATAGAGTTATAATCAGTGCCATCAGGTTGATAACTTGTTGACATGTACGTGTGATATCCCTGAGAAGGGAGATAATTCTATAGGATCGCATAGTTACCTCCCGTGAACACTGTAAAATAAGATCGTAATTACATATCAGTTAAACAAAGTGGGGTAGTCTTGGGGTGTCTTGGGATAGTCTTGGGGTAGTCTTGGGGTGTCTTGGGGTAGTCTTGGGGTGTCTTGGGGTGGTCTTTGGGTGTCTTAGGGTGTCTTGGGATAGTCTTGGGGTAGTCTTGGGGCATTGTGTACACCGGTCTTACTGACCTGTGTGAATCCACGCTAAGCATGATGGGAACGCACTTCTTTTTATATGGTGGCTTGAACACTGAAGTGATAGAACAAATCGAAAATGGGGCCAGTTGAAAAATTAAACTTTTTCCATACTCTGTTGGCATAATAGCCATTACATCATTTTTACTCAACATGCACCAAACACTCTTCTGACAATCCTTTATTGGTTTTATTAACCCAGTTTCGTTCAACAACGGTGATAGTATTTCGTCGATTGTTAGTTTAAATTAAAACCGAAAATGAAAGTAGTTTTGAATATTTAAATTGGAACTATCAATATTGCACTTGCAATATTAAACTCTGGGAAACAGTGATCCCTTGAAAGCAATAAACGATTTTAATCACTTGAAAAGATATATTGTGGTTTGAGAAATAAGATTGTCATCCCTACACGGACTTCTTTCTGTCGGAGTCATTTTTACCCTCATTTGGGGTGAGTAATGCGTCGTAAGACACAGGTCGATATTTGAGACCGGTGTGTATACAATGGTCTTGGGGTGTCTTGGAGTGTCTTGGGGTAGTCTTGGGGTGTCTTGGGGTAGTCTTGGGGTGTCTTGGGGTGGTCTTTGGGTGTCTTAGGGTGTCTTGGGATAGTCTTGGGGTGTCTTGGGGTAGTCTTGGGGTGTCTTGGGATAGTCTTGGGGTAGTCTTGGGGTGTCTTGGGGTGTCTTGGGGTGGGGTGTCTTGGGGTGTCTTGGGGTAAATAGACCGACAGGTGCTGCAGGCAACATTGACTAGGTGAAACTAATCCGTTCATTAGACAGGCATATTAGTGCATCCAGACCTGGTACACAGACATCTAGATAGGTAAGTCATTTACTTATCATATGGTAGGTTCTACAGTACAATTAGTTGGACTAATTTTTAGTTTTATAACTGATTATTTTATATATGATTTTAACATTACCTACATGTAAGCAGTCAACAAATATCTGGCTATGAGTAAGAAAAACTAGACTCACTCAAGACATTACCTTGCCATATCCGAACACAAGTGCAGTTTATTAATCCTCGTTTATTATTCGCAGTTATTTAAACAAGAATTTCATCAATTCGCATATAATTTGCTAGTATAATATATTGCTTTAAAGAATTTAACTGACATCTGATAATAGATACTGTAATCTTGTTTTGTTTTTCATATTTCCTTGTTTACATCCTGTTTGGGTTTTTTGAAGGTGTCTAAAATACGTAAAGTGGCGTAAAGTAGGGGCAGGTGTATTCCGCGGAAAATCCAGCAGAAACCACGGAAAACACGGAAAAGATAAATTTAAACCGTCTGCTATATAATATTATCATGATGATTGTGTACACGTATCTTATACCAAATCTAATGTTTTAAGATCACAAAAATATGTTTAAGCATAATCATTATTTACAGTTTTTATTGTCTCTTATAAAGACTTATTGAAATTAAAATATACGGAAGCCCATAAGTGCCATTTTGTCTTAGGACTTTTGTCTTATGACTAATGACTTGTGTATCATGACTTTTGTCTTATGTATTATGACTTGACAAAAAAGAGGCAAAAGGGCATGTTTCATCACATGCACCCTTCATGGACGTTGGAGGTAAATCTGATAGTGAAACAGAAGACGATTTGGTAAGTGTTAAATTTAAAAAGTATGACAGTACTGTATTTCTCCTAACTTGAATAATTATCTCCCATACAAGGTTAGGTTTCGAATATATGGACCATCTCAGATGAAAAAATAGGTCACAGGGCACAACAATCGTATTAACTGTTAAAGTTTAAGTATCAAAATATTTGCAAGACTGACACATTTTTAAAACATGTGTGAAACTTTATTCTGTATAAAATATAAATTATTTCTCCTTCAGGTAAATGCGAGTAGTAAACAATGCGAGTAGTAAACGTATTCATGCACTAGTTCAGAACATAGCAGGCCACTTAGAAGAAAAAAGACCCAGAAAACATTGACTAAGATTAACTTATGGAGATCCATTGATGGTAAACATATTGGACATTCATCTTCTACCTGTGACACTCTCTTTACAAAGGAAAATACAAGAAATTGATTTATAATTTATCAGACAAGTACAAAGGCAAATGTGCCGAATGATGATATTTTATCAAATTGCAGAGTACAGTAGGAGAACAAAAAGTAACAAAGAAGACTGCTTTGGTAAGAGTTAAATTGTTAAAAGATTTACATAAATTAATTTTGTTTATGACATGACAACTATAGTATATAGGATTAACTATACAACTAGTTGCAACTTTTCCATGCATCTGTTTCAGTTTCAGTTCTTTTCCAAAACTGTAAGGCATTGGCCTAACAACTTGAAACTCTTATTCTTTTGGTGACTCTATTGAGTTATCTCCCTTTTAAACTTTTTTTTTAATTTTCAAATATAAAGGTTATTTGAGTGTTCAGTACCTGTATACGGTGCAATTTTGATTTAAGCAGTCAAAGTCTTACTTATCAACCCGCCCGCTTATATCAACAGACCGACGGTTTGTTGGCGAGGCTATGTTTTTCGTGATTGTGTATAAAATTTTCAGGCCATTTAATCAAACTCCGTCTTTGTTTAATCTTTTTTCTCCTAGCAACATTTATATGATTTCAAAAAAAAAAAAAAAAAAAAAAAAAAAAAACCCTACACACACTGATATCTATGATGTTTGAATAATTATTGCAATTGACATTTTATACAGCCGTGTTTTTATAAATTACATATTTTGTCTGACATCTTATAAGTATGAATAAGAGCTTATATGTATACGTACTCTGTTTTGCAGATATCACAAGTGAATATGTTGGCGTTCCATAGCTTTTGGTTTTGTCTTTGGATACAACAGTTTAACTCTGTATTAGGAGTGACACCTTCAAACATACCAGACACATCGACAGCAGGAAGTACACGGCTTGAATTAGTGAAACACTATTTTTACTGTGGGTTTTCATATACGGAAATTATTCTTTTGTTGTTTGTTATAAATAACATTAAAATATCGTTGCGACAGCTTAATAGAGTACTTAAATGTAACAACTTACGACGTCGAACTGGATACACACCAGATCACATTGTTCTTGATTATATTTCCAAGGAAATTGAGACAAGTGGTCAGTGCATTGGTTATCGTTCGATGTGGAAACGCTTGACAATTGAACATAAATTAAGAGTTCCTAGAAATAAAGTTCTTTCATTTATGAAAACTATTGATCCTGACGGAATTAATTTTCGGAAAACCCACAGAATTAAAAGACGCAAGTACAGAATAAAGGGGCCAAATTATGTATGGCACGTAGACGGTTACGATAAACTGAAACCATATGGCTTTTGTATACACGGTGCTATTGATGGTTACAGTAGAAGGATACTTTGGCTAGAAGTGTCACAAAGTAACAACAACCCTGCAGTCATCGCTATGTATTATCTTGAAGCGCTGAAGACGCTTCGGGTTGTTCCCCGAATTCTTCGTTGTGATAAGGGAACGGAAAATTCAACTCTGTCTTTGCTCCAACCGTTCTTCCGGTACAATGATACAGATAGTATATCGGGACTTAGAAGTTTTATATACGGAAAAAGCGTTTCAAATCAACGAATAGAGGCCTGGTGGGGAACTTTGATATGAGACGCCAAGGAATTCGATGGTGGATTTCCTTTTTCAAAGATTTAAAAGACAATCAAGAGTATGATGAAGTAAATCCTTTACATTTTGAATGCTTGAAATTCTCTTTTATGCACTTGATTCAGGCCGAGCTTGACAGAATAGCGGTTAATTGGAACTTACATTCCATACGTAAACAGAGAAATTCTGAGGTACCAAATGGAAAACCCGATTTAATGTACTTCGTTCCGGAATTGTTTGGCGGACACAATTATGGAAAGATTGTAGATCAAAATGATGTTGATGCTTGTTGCGAAATGTACGGCTTATGTAGGACAATATGCATTAAAGAATTTCAAGATTTGGTAGAATTACTAAAGCCTGACATCCGCATTCCCATGGATGTACAAGATGCTCTAGAACTATACAGGGAACTACTGGAACTTATTGATGAAGCCATTGAATAATTTCTCTCATATGTGCTCTGAATAAATTCTCTTTAAGTATCAGATACTTAATATAATTCATTTAGATCGTTTGCGGAACAAGTTCTTGCCAAGGTTTTTTTTTTTGTAATCAAAACCCTTGTACCAACCAGTACTGGTGTCATATGTAACTTCCAAACATGCAGATTTTACAGGATATATGTCTTATAATATTGTTATATTGTTATATTATATAAATGTATATAATTGTCTATTATATAATTTAAAATTCATACACAACATAAGAAGTAGTTATGTAAATTAAAATTACATAAACTCATATCTATTCTGTTTCCCTTTTATAGGTTTTCCATAGAACTTATTCAAACAACCCTTGAAACTTCACTGGTGGATATCAAAACATGAATATATGTTACTAACACGAATCATTTTATCTTAAACTATGTCCATTTGTTTTATTTCCTTGCTAGGTTTAAAGACTGACACTTTCAAAAAATATTATTTTAAGGAAAAGAGCTCGCTTATATGAAATATAATCTGATAAACAAAATTAAATGGTTTTAACGAAATATATTGACAATTATTTAAGTCTTTAAGTAAAAAAATAAACAAGTGTTAACTTAAAACCAACTTTCTTTTCGGCATACAAACTTAAATATTTTGAAATCAGTCATAAGTTTTACTTAGATTTAAACAAATTGAAAATACTTATATAAAAGAAACAGAAATAATTATAGTTTTGAAAACAGCCTAATACAAAACAAGAACTATTACTAAATGTGATTAATACCCCCGCAAGACTGCTTCGGAAATGATGGAGTTATTAGTAATAGAATACCTTTTTAAAAGAATTGAAATTGAGTTATGGTTGTGGGCAATTAAAGATAGTTGTGGTTCTTGTATGTTTCAGTTCCAGTCAATGTGGTTTAACATTGATGAAGTGTTATTGAATTACCCTGTAATAAGTTCAGAAAGAGTTACGCTTCTTGAGCACTGCACTTCATCTCACATCTCATTGCGCTTGACCATTTTATGAAGTTGCATTAAATTCTAAACATTAATTTTAAGTTATGCATCGGACAAGGAAAAGGAATAAAGGGCAATAACTCTACAAATACTGAATTATTGTATACTGCACTTCCTTTCATTGTGCTTGACCATTGTATAGAGTTGTATTGAATTCCAAACCATAGTTTTCAAGTTATGCACTGGACAAAAAGTAACAAAGGGCATTGTATGAAGTTGTATTGAATTCGAACCCGTGCTTTTAAAGTTATGCTCCGGACAAGGAAAGATATCAAAGGGCAAAAGCTAAAAAGCTCTGTAATTTGTCAAAATGGAGTTATGATTCTTGTGTACTGCACTTCCTCTTATTGTGCTTGACGATTGTATGAAATTGTATTGAATTACAACCAGTAGTTTTCAAGTTATGCTCCAGACAAGGAAAAGAAACAAAGGGCAATAACTCTGTAATTAGACAAAATGGAGTTATGGTTCTTGAGTACTGCACTTCCTTTCAATTCGCTTGACCATTGTATGAGGTTATAAGGAATTCCAACCATCATGAGTCTTCAGGTTATGCTCCGGACAAGGAAAATGCAACGGACCGCTTGACCGACCGACCGACCGACCAACCAACCAACAAACCAACCGACTGACTGACCACCGGTTGATTCCTATATACCCCCTAACTTCGTTTCGGGGGTATAAAAAGTTTTATTTAATTAACTTTTGACGTCACTCTCAATATATATCAAACAATTATATTTCAGTTCCATTATATCACTTTTACTTATTTGCTACACCCGTTCATATCTTAGTTTATTTACTAAACTCTGTTGGGAATTCAGTCGCTACTGGTCTGCTATCGGGATCATAGTTCAGCCCCTTGGTTACAATGTCTACTATTCTGCTACAAATACAGTCCATTTGTACAAGTTTTGTAATGGCATGTGGGACTTCTTTTTGACTCATAAATTCTTTAATTGTTTCAACAGCTGATCTTTCATTTTCTTCTTCATCTTCCTCTTGTAATCCCCACATTGGACATTCACTGAATAATTCTGCAAGAGTGCCTGCCATTCCCCAAACATCAGATTTTGTTGATGCAGGTCTATTACCAAGCAAAATTTCTGGTGCTTGAAAGATAAGGGTACCTGGTTGCATACCTGGTGCATAGGTGGTAGCAGAACTATTTATTGTTAACAATTTTGAAATCCCCAAGTCACATAATTTCACTACTTCTAAAGATTCTGATACAATGATGTTCTCTGGCTTTAAGTCTCGATGTAATATAATAGGAGAACTGTTGTGCAAGTAAGCAACAGCCTGGGATATCTTTTCAGCAATGTGGCATTTTTTTAGAAGGGGGATTTGTTGGCATCGATCACCAAACAGTAGGTCATCTAAAATTGATTCTTTTATGTACTCAGACACAATGTGCAATGCATTATTATATACCGAATACCCCATAAACAGTATACTGTGTGGATGCCTTACTCTTCTGAGAACTTTTACTTCTCGTTCAAGAGCTTTCTGGACTAGTTTAATTCGCCTTATTTTCACAGTTTTTATTGAAACTGGAGTAAAAAGATAATGTGCCAAATGTACTGTTCCAAAAGAGCCTTCCCCAATTTTAGGTCCCATACATAAACTATCATAAGGAATTTCTGGCACATTTACATCTGTTGAGAAATTAAGCGCGTGTATAGGATTATACTTGGCTGTACTTGAACGTTCTTTGAAATAGTCACAGTTTGTCTGTTCACTCACATTCTCATTCATGACATGACTTTTTATTACTTCATTGTCTGTAATGGAATCATAACTAGGAGTTGATCGTTCAGTAACAGTAACAATATCAACTGTTTTGTCCTCCATTGATGGTTCAGTAACACTGTCAACTGTACTGTCCTCCCATGATGGTTCAGTAACAGTGTCAACTGTACTGTCCTCCATTGATGGTTCAGTAACAGTGTCAACTGTTTTGTCCTCCATTGATGGTTCAGTAACAGTAGCAACTGTTCTCTCCTCTACTGATGGTTCAGTAACAGTAACAGTATCAACTGTACTGTCCTCCATTGATGGTTCAGTTACATAAGCAGTATCAACTGTACTGTCATCCAGGGACTGAAGTCTTACTCGGTCAGTTAAAATCTCCTGAGTTGCATGACAAGTGTTTGTTGAAAGTTTTATTTTTTCTGCCAGCAAAGCTTGAGAGTCCACCCTTACAGCTGCACATTCATAAAGTGTATCTTCATCTGATACCTTCACCAAGTATTCACCAGGATCAGTTACGGGGATTAAGCAAAGGTCAGGTCCACTTGCAAAGAGTTCGTTGTTTTTATACCACTGAAAATATGCACCAGAATTATGTTCTTTATAAAGTACTCCAAGTATGATTTCCTTGTTTTCTTGCTTCTCAAAACCCACAATCTGGTCAGGTGAATGAATTATTCCTTTTGCATTTGATGTAGCTGTTGGATATTCAAAGTGGTTAGAACTCGGATCTGCTTGGCTCAAAATAGAGATCTTGTTGACTGTTATGCCTGTCACTTTGAAACTATTTTCCAGTGGATTATACCCATCTCTTTCTCTGTCAGGATCACTTACAATTGTGTCAAGAAAGCAGTCATCAATGGTTTGACAGATTTTTTGTGAACATTCTGCTGTGTATGATGATTTGCAAAGTTTAGTGTACTTTACACATATTTCACCAGGTGTTTGGTCATTTACTATCAATGATGTTAAAGGAACCGGAATGCTTTTATCATCTACATGCTGTCTAACTGGCTCTCTACCGTCAATCTCCTGTTTTTTTAGATGTTCTCAAATATAAAAAGTACTGAGAGGAAAACACGCCGATAGACTTCAAGTATGTTTGCAAATTACATTCTTCCCCATTTGGCATGACAAATTTTGAGATTACTTCTCCGTTATATGTAGACAGGTTCACTACCATATCTGATATCTTTCCCATATCATTTTTTCCATCTGGAAAGAAAATGCTAGTTGCATAATTTATAACTGTCTGAACAGTTTGCTCTTCTTCTTTTTTAAATTCGTATATTCTTGTACCGCCTCCTCTCCGTGCGGTAACTTGTCTTAACTTCCCACGAGTTTCATGAAGCCATCCAAGGTGCAACTTATATATGGCATGTCTACCAGTACCTCGCTGTTTCTGAAAGAAGAACTAATAAGCTATCTATGATAATTTATTGAAAATACACCAAGGGATATAGTTTTATATAGAAATTTTATTAATATTTCAACCATCATAACTGAATATCATAGAAAACTTAAATGTATACGTAATTTAATAAAGCGCCCAAAAATATGTGTCACTCACATAAAAACTTTCTGTTTATTTCTTTAAAAAAAGTACATGTTTTTTACGCAATGGTCGTATTCATTGATTCGTTAAATTAATCTAGGTTTTGACAAAATCAAAACACAGTTACCAGACTAAAATTTTAACCAAGTGACCTAGTATTTACCACTCATTTAATGTCCAATATTGAGAATACCTTATGAACACTTTGAACATGTTTCATGAAAATCACAAAAGAAATGTTACCCTGTGTTAAAATACAGTCGCGAGCAACCAGTGATCATGATGACTGTGTTACCTGATTATTGCAAATTAAGCAATTGTATTGTTCTGTTAATTTTTCAGCTACTTTGTAGCATGTTACAGTTATTGTGTAGCAGGAGACACAGACATCAAACAGACGGATGGACACACAGACACCTGCATGCTCTTAATTTGATTTGACTTCTTGACTTAATTTTTGATTGCACTCGACCAGCTTTCAAATAAAACATTTATAGAGATGAACATTCTGTCAATGTATCACAAAGACCAGAACGTATTTTGACTTTTGAATTATGTCTTATGTATTTTGACTTTTGTATTATGTCTTATGTATTTTGACTTTTGTATTATGTCTTATGTATTTTGACTTTTGTATTATGTCTTATGTATTTTGACTTTTGTATTATGTCTTATGTATTTTGACTTTTGTATTATGTCTTATGTATTTTGACTTTTGTATTATGTCTTATGTATTTTGACTTTTGTATTATGTCTTATGTATTTTGACTTTTGTATTTTGTATCATGACATATGTAATACGGCTTATGTATTGTGTATTACGGGTTAAGAAGTATGCATCATTTGATTTATACAGACATGTAAGAAGTAAGAAGTCTCGCAGCTTGCTCATCTATTACCCTATCTCCTTGGTGATAGTTTTACTTGCGAATACTAAATTTGACTGTTATTTGCATGTCGGTTCTGTGCCAAAATAATCATAAATGCTACAACTGAATCTTAGTGCTTCGAATTATTTTGTTAATAGAATAAAAGAAGATTTTGCATGTAGGTTATTTACAGTGTTTATTTTTATATTATGTAGTCAAACATTGCACAAATGCTTTAGAAGAATGAAAAGTCAAACATTTGTTATTTGTCATTTTCAAGAAATCTTTATCGATTTGGTAGAACCATTTCATGTATCAGATCATTCTTTAAGTGATTTTACATTTCCACCTATTGATCATGTTTAGAAAAAACCCCAAAGAATTGGCTTCAAAATGTCATATTTTAAATTATAAAAAAAATCCTTGTTTTCACCATAGATTCCTCAATATCAGATTAATAATTATCATTTATTGTACTCTTTGTATTTTCACATATTAATATACATTTATAGTAAAGTTTCATTACATAAAACGCTCAATTTGGGGAGGAAAAAAGTAATATTTTGAATGATTACATACTACAAGCTGTCTTATTTTTCATATTAATTACATATCATTGCATGTATATATAGTGATATCAAAATACAACTGATTCAGGTACTCTCATATTTCATTCCTCCACAAAATATGATAAACAAAATCAACAAGTTAAGGCAGCGTTCAATGAACGCAAAAAAAGACAATAGTGTGAAACTTCTTATTTATTTATATTTGAATAAGTTATGCTGAATTAATGCAATTGAATCAACCATTTCACTTAACTTGATTTTTATATTAATAAGGATTATATGGCACGTAAACTGACAAAAGAACAAAGTTGTACATGCACAAAGTATCATAGTAGATGACTTTAAGCATTAAAGATGCATGCCTCCAGATGAGTCAAAATATTTTTAAAAAAAACTCAAACTTAAGATAAGATTTTAAGAAAAGTAAAGAGATTCAAGAATTAAGTTATAATTTACATGTTGGTTTTGCAGTATGCATCACTATATTTCTCCTAACGCGTAACGAAAGGGCTATATTTGCCAATTTAACCAACTTTGCTAATTTACGTGGATTGTAAGTAGATTATTACTTTGTTCATAACAATATTTTCCTTTTCATAATATTCATGAGAATTTTCATGAATGTTTGAAGTATGCTGCTTTAAAAGTTAAAGAGTTAATTAAATCCTTAATTATTATATATTAAATCATGACTCAGATATAGATGTACATATATGAAGACTGTTTTTTTTAAACTAAAATGATTATTTTTGTTGCAAGTTTAAGGCATGGGACATGTTCTTCACACTTCTTTAGGAGGACCCAGCAACTACCAAAGCAAAATTTATTTGGTAAAACATCATTATTCAGTATCTAGGGAGTTGTACTTATAAATCATAAACCTGTTTCTTGAAAAAATACTTGTATTTTCCATTGTAAACAGAGTAACGTAACAGACTGAATGTCTCATTTTTACCTTTTTTGGATTTTCCATCATAAGCTGTTTCTTCTTCTTTTTTTGGCCTGCTATATTTTTAACTAGCTCCTTAATTCGTTTTCTTCTCACATTTTCCTGTAGGAGAAATAATGTATATTTCATACAGAATATTGCAAGAATCAAGTTTCACAAATGTATCAAAATGTGTCTGTCTTGCAAGAATCTTGTTACTTAATCTAACAAATAATATTCATTCATAAATCAGATGACCAATAATGGAATAAGACCTAGAAAACCAATCAAAACAATTTTCCTGCCAAATCTTCATAAAATTTGCGGTGAAAACGTAAATTCTAGAGAGTTAAGATTTAGGGCACTGTAAACTACTTTTTCTCACGAAATGAAATGCTCCATATTAGGACTCGTCCGAGAAATATTTTGGACAAACATCCTGACCATGTTCAACAGAGGCAAAGGAGTGACCATCATTGTATTAATGTGGATGGACATTCATAAAACCTTACTAAGCCACTGTTTGACGGATGTGTTCTTAAAAAAAAGAACCTGATATTGAGACAACTTTGCAATTAGAATCGAGGTGAAAAGTAAAACTATAAAAGAGCAAGATGGTTCTAAAATGTACGTCAGTGTTGGTATACTTTTCTGGCCCTTCGTGATCATTGATGCCAGCAGTATTAAGTGTGGATAATTGAGTACCGCTCAAGACGGTGCAAGGGGGTGTGAGGGATGTTGCACTTATTCATTATCCCTCATGTACAGACTCAATCAAACTGAGTCTGCAATTTTCGTGTAATTTTGTTGTGATTAATGCTTCAGGGGGATCACTTTGTTTCCATTTTTTTCTTTTCAGAGGTACACATGCCAGTAAAGAGCTTGGAAGTTGAATTTCTTTTATTAACAAAACAATATTTTGAAATTTGGAATAATTTTTATATATCTTAATAATTACATTTTCACACATAAATCATGCTTTGTTGTTTGCTGCAAAATTCAAATTCTCCGTAAGTGAGATAGTGATAATAGCCGATTCACTGAGTCACTGAGTGTATAGTGAGATATCTCACAGATGGCGGGAAAATGCAAGGGTTTCCAATACACTTATTCTCCCAAACCTTTCCTTTTTGTAAATATTTACAAAGGTACTTTATGTTTATTTTTCCATAAATCTACTTCAAATGTTATGTTACTCAAAATCAAAACTGACATTCCTCGCTTTTATTATCCAATTCAGTTCTAGAGAACAATAATCCGGCTGGTCAGTTTTTTTTAATTGATTTTGTTATTGTAACTGCTTTAAAAACACTTATTAAAGACAGTTTTAAATTAAAGTGTAGCATTCTTATAAGTACTCCATTATAACATTTATACTTGTCTCATATAAAGTTGTGTTATCAATTGTTATTAGCCTATGACACAGAAAGTGTTACTTCGATATGATTTTGAAATAGATATTGTTATTTATTCTTGATAAATTATCATTTATAATTCCTTGAATCATTTAGTGGTCTCCTGAATAAACTTGTTACACATGAATAGATTATTCCAAGTGTTGTGACTTATCAGTTCATACCGGGTCAACATTGCATCATTTTATATCTCACCTTACAGTTAATTAGCCAGCAGCTTGAAAGATGTAGATAAAAGTGATTTATATTATCCCTGTTGTTCTACAGACCATAGTACAGAACAATATATACAAACTGAATTAAAGATAAAACTCTAGAAATTTAAATGATGAATTTATAAATATTTTTGAAATTTTATGTGCTGTAAAAAATTCATTAAGTGAAATATGATCAGACCTATAAATATTCTTTAATGTTATTGCTGTTTCTCAAAATACACATCACCTTACCACACATTACGTGTTATATATGCTAACTGGCTTTAATGACGCTGTATCTGCCAAGTGGTACCAGTCATTTATTAAGCCGTCAAGTGTATCATAATCCATGCTTTTATAGGGAAATGAACCTTATTCCGCTTTTACACTCATGAATGAAGTTTATCTATCTTTGAAATTTAATTCTTATGACAGACATTATGCCTGCTAACATAATCAAAGCACAGAAGGCGCTGAATTTGTTTGGGTCTCAGAATGTAAGAAAGGTGCAGGTTGTGAGATTATATGTATAGTGCCACCAATGCTTTCCAGCGTTTAAATTGTAGTGAATTGGCTATAAGACTAATTGCAACACTGATATTCAATCCAATGTTTATTTGACTTTAACAATTTGAAAAAAAATGAGTTACCTTTACTGGGATTTGAACTCAAGACCTCTCGCTTCCTAAGCGAGCCCGAAAACCCTTCAGCCACGGTGAATTTATATGTGAACGGGCTGAAGAAAACCATATTATTCTAAATTAGGGCTTGTAACGACTTTAACTGTTGTTTAACACAGATGTAAATAATCCTGGAGCTTAATATAAGCATTAATATTTATAAAGAATCAAAGGGCTGCAAGTTCTGTGGTATTTTCTGATCTTTGCAATCTAAATCGTAGTGTATATCTGTATGCATTTTCCTGTATAGGTTTATTATTATGTATTATAATTCATTTTGCAAGGCACCAGAGTTTGATACATACGGAATTCTGCATAACTAGAGATGCATCAAAAAATCATTTATGATCATTTTTTACGACAGCCACACTTTATCCTTGCATATCATGGCTACTTCCTTAACAAAAACACTTAAAAAAGAATTTAGCAAAAAAAAAAAAAAAGGTTCCTCGACTGCGATTCGAACTCAAGACCTCTCACTCACTAAGCGAGCGCGTTACCACTGTACCACATGTTATATACAGAAAGGCTGAATAATATCAAGTCATTCTAAATTTAGAACTTCCATTGCATTTCGGGTTTGCAATCCTTATTAATTTCGAGGTATTTTGTTCAGGGTAAACTTCTTGTTTAAAATTGAAGTAAATATTTTAGCGAAAATCCTCTCGCCCAAACAGTTCCGACATGTAGAATCTATATATTCCACTACTCGGTTTGTGTAGTATTCGGTAATAAATAGTATTTTCATTGATAAAATCATATTCATCCGCGTAATTTGTGATTGTGCATTTATTGACAATTCTATAAGCCAACGCTATTGTTTAACTTTAAATGCGTTGTAATTTGTTGGATACTTGTAACAAAATAAAATATTTCTTTCTTTTTTAAATCGCTAGTTTTAAGCTGTTTTTGAGAACTACTTGTTGTTAGGTTTGTTGTAAACTTCTGTGTCAGAGATTGAATGTCCGCTTTGTATTTAGTTATTTTCGATCAGAAAATACAATAAAACAATATTAGAAATCTTCGACCATTCGGGAATTACTTTGCTTGAAAATTGATGCGCCTGTCTTTGACCATCTTTACGCAGTGATCTCCCCTGAATTTTTCGGCTTTAGTGTTCATACAAAAGGGAAGTAACCGCTTCAAAAAAGTGGACTACTTTCGGCATTTGCAATTAACAACATTAGACTCTGAAATTTCGCTACCATTATTTGTTTGGTCTGACGACCCAAACAAATAATAAAACAGGTGGCCATAGTAAATCATGATGTTTGCAAACCTCAAAGCAGTAAAATCACTTATTAATTAATCTTGGATATTTTTATTTATTTATTTACTATTTCAACTCAAAGAAAGTCAAAATATATTGTTCAAGTGATTGCACAGGTTAATGAACAGATTTGGTCAGATAACACTGTGAGGAGTGCTTTGCACTAACAGCAGTAATATTTACCTGTAAAATTGTCTAAATTTTGTACTGTTGATGAAATCTTTGTAGTTTTAGCTGATACATGAATCGGAGCAAGTATGTGCTATAAATAAATAGCATAAATAGTGTTCGCTATAAACATACAATAATACATTGAGAAATAAGCTTGTATAAGGGAGCCTAACTGTTTAAATTTCAACACTTACCAAATTGTCTTCTGTTTCACTATCAGATTTACCTCCGTCAGCCATAATGGGCGCATTTGATGAAACTTGCCTTTTTGCCGCCTTTTTTGTCAAGTCATAATACATAAGACAAAAGTCATAATACATAAGTCATTAGTCATAAGACAAAAGTCCTAAGACAAAATGGCACTTATGGGCTTCCGTATTCGTAAAAATATCATCCTTTCGTTAGATATTTTGCATCACTCGTTTTTGTCAATTTCCAAAACAGCAGTACAGTATTGTAAAAAAAAATCAAGATTTTCCATAAATCTTTATATGCTTTACAAATGGATATAGAACTATTTTATCAGGTCATAGAAAGCTCATTTTCCCCATATTTTAAATGTTATACCTCTGAACGCTGACCAATAGTGGATTATACGTACAAAGAATCTTCCACTACAAATATGTGGCTTATATTTCCCCTAACTTCACTTCAGTGTTGTTATATTTTTTTCTGGTTCTTCGGGATCCTTGATACCAGCACTGTTAAGTGTTGAGAATTGAGTACCGCTCAAGCCGGTGCTCGGGGGCGTGAGGGATATGTTGCACGTATTCAGTATCCTTCATCTACAGAATCAATCAAACCGAGTCTGCAATTCTCATGTAATTTTGTTGTGATTAATGCTTTCGAGGGATCACTTTGTACAATGTCCAGATTTTTATATTATTTGTGCGTTCTGTTGTTGTGATATACGTGAATGACAGAAGATAACGATTTTATACGACTCATTTATTTCGTTTAAAACATGAACATGATTAACATATATATCAAATCAAGTAAATAAAGCAAAAAGTTATGAAACTCGGAAGGATAAAATATTAAGCGGTACTGTGTGTATAGATGGATACAAGATACAAGCAACTTTATTTTAAGTCGGTTTACATATCACAAGAAACATAAGCTAATAAGCTATTTACCGACATAAAACATATTTACTAACATATAACAGATCTGAAAGTAAAAACATTTAAAACTAGTAGCAACTTTAGGCATGAAATAAAAGTAGCAAGATTAAGAAGAACTATACAATAAGATGACAAATTAAAGCAAAGTATGATGACATGCACAGTACATATTGTATTAAAGGTACTAACATTTTAAAAAGTAATAAATGACTGTATTATAGAATGAGCTGATAATTTAAGTATGATACATGTAGCAATGTGAAATAAATAAAAATGACTATCATAAAAATATAATTAAATTAAAATAGTAATAGTTAACATCTAGAATTTATACATAATTAAAGATTTACCAAAAAAAAAATGTAAAAAATAATGACTTACTTAAAAGAAAGTACATACAAATTTATGATAGCACTAAAACAGCATGAAAAAAAAGAAAAACGATGAAGCACATACAGGGTAACAAACAAAGTAAACTAAAATTAAGTTACATGCACAACCTAATGGAAGGGAAAATAAGGAGTTTTAATTAGAACAAAACATACAAATCAGACAGCAAACATACAACTAGCATAAAAATACAGGGTTTAAAGGAAAAATAGCACACAGCATATAATCAAAGCATCATAGCAAACTAAAAAGGGATGCACAAAAACAAAGCAAACAAACAAACATGCAGTCTAAGCATTTAACATAAATTAAAACTAAGAAGATTAACAAACACATTGCAAATTTACAGACACATAGCACATTTACAACTTGGGCCGCTCCAGACCTGGATCAGTCTCCCAAACTCTTTGTAGTTTTCAACCTTGCGGGTGTCATTAGGGAGACTGTTCCATATCTGGGCGCCTTCAAACCTAAAATAATTCTTACAGTATGTTACTGTTTTGACCCTTGGAATATTTACACTTTTAGTTTAAACATAGTTTACTTCGAACAAATTCACAGTTTATATACAGACAATAATGTACACAATACAAGACAATAATGTACACAATACAAACATGATTTGTAAAGGCCTTCTCATTATAGATTTTCAATGCATAAAATACGGTATGACAGTATACGTAACTTGCTTAAAATAATTTTTATATCTGATTTTACATTGTTTTTAATAAGTTAATGTCAAAATTGTTTCTAACATTTAGTTATAATATAAAGCAAAAATACATTGTATATGAGAATACAAGACAGCATCATTTGCTATATAAAATTAAAGAGAAATAACGTAAATTAAGATAGAAAGAAATAAAGGAAGAAACTTTCAGCAAAATAGAAAAGAAGAAGA